GTGAGTAAATAGAAGTAAATATTTTGCAAAAATACAATTAGTATCAGAAGGGGTTTTGTGGATATTATAGTAATTTTAATAGTTGAGATCATGAGTCAATTGAAGCTAGACCGTCATGAAAAACCTGGAAGCATTGGACGACCGTTTCGTCCTATTGTGAAACTCGTCCTCCTGGGTTCAAATCTCACGAGTCGGAATCGTGGATGCACACTGCTGAGGAGTCCCACAAACGGCCGTCCAGTGCTTTCAGGTTTTCCATGGTGATCTAGCTTCAATTGACTCATAATCTCAACCATTAAAAATACAATTAACCTAAAGTTGTAATGAGAAAATTTTTCTCAAATGATTTACATGGGTTTAATAATAACCGAATACAATATTCCGAAATCAACGTATGAGAATAGGTAAATCTAACCAACAATTAGATAATGGTATTAAATGGTCATTTCCTATCAAAATAACATTCGGTTTACATAGTTATCCCATTGTTTATTTTTCAGAATCATATTAACTTATGTGTTTAATCAAATCAAGCTCTAAATAAAGAGTAAAAGAAATATGGAATCTAAAATATAATATGTTAATCAGATATAGGCTTGATTTATTGAAATTACTCAAGCAAAACATTGATTATATTAGGAGATTCAGGAGTGTGCACAAGTTTTAATGATGATAAACAGGATTAATGGGAAAAGATTGATGATTACAAAGATTTTTGTTACGTCCTTGATCTGTCTGCCCACTTTTAGTGCTGAGGGTACTCGTCTAATCTAGATTAAGACCTTGACGAGATAGGCTGACAGGCTTAACCTTGAGGCTAGTATGCGTGAGTTCGAAGCGGGGTACGGAAACGGCCGTCCAGTGCTTCCAGGTCTTCCATGGTAGTCGAGCTTCGATTAACTCTTCATCTCAACTATTAAAATAAAATTGCTAATGATGATATAACTATTATTATCATTATTATAACTGTTCTTATTATTATTAGTAGTAGTATTATTATGCAAGCATCTTTCAAATACATGAATAATTTAGCTAGCATTCACCATACCTTATTATTTCTTACTGAATTTATATAACTGTAAACACTAAATTGTCTAACACTTTAAATTTGATCTGATTTATAGAGTCACATTATAATTTGGTTATATCCTGACGAGAATTATGAATGGTAACTTTTGAGAACTAGATATGGACCAATACTATACATATATTTTTATGGTGAGAGTATAATTTATGGACGACCTTGAAGCGACGCTAAAGTGACCTTGAGAGTGTCTACCTATTTACTAGGGCTAAATGAGGGTTATAAAGCAGTTTGAATAATAAGGATTATGATTTATAGTTGATGGTTAAGTTTAGGAATTAGATTTCAGGTTTTCATCACGAACTGACATCAGCTAGTATGGAAACGGCCGTCCAGTGCTTTCAGGTTTTTCATGGTGTTCTAGCTTCAATTGGCTCATGATTTCAACTATTGAAATTTCTAAAATCACAAAACCCATTCTGAAAATACAATAAAGTCCAAAACTGGAGATTAGCGTAGAAAATTGAGTACAAAATAATACGCTTAAATGACAATAGCTTTAGAACAAAAAGGGCTATGAAAATGAATCATACATCAAACCAAAGCTTATGATTTGTAGAATAGACTAGAGACAAAAATAAATGTTACTATTTTACAAGCTTTGAATCAAATGAAATTACGTCTCCCAAAAATAGCTTCCGTAGTTTGTGAAGGCCTCTTGTTTCTCTGTTCACATCAATCTTCAACAGGAAAAAATACTGTATATTAGTACTAATTTATTCCGATTTACAAATCATTAAAATAATTCAGGCTATATAAATATTGAATAAACATATTAGAAGTTTATATATATGATAACTTTTAATTCTATCTATCTACAATATACATCAGTGTCAGTGAGGCTAATAACTATTTATTTGGTTGCCTATATGAGATTGATAGTTCTGAAGATGCCACTGGTATTCGGAGTTTGACAACGCTTTAACCAGTAACACCTAATATGAAGCGTACCCACTAATTGAAAGCAAAAGACAGAAGCGAGGAGGTTCGAAGATATATTTGATAAGCTATCAATATATCGGGGATTATCTGATCTAATCTGGCTAGCGATTGCAGTAGATGTTAAGCACGACGTTCCTACACGTGATATGGTGCGGATGCATGACCGAGCGCCTTCAGCTCGATGAGTCCATTAAAACTAATGTGGCCAGCATCCAATGTCGAAAACTTACAGAGCTATTTATTTTGGGGATTTATTTACCGCTATAGATCGCTCCCCCCTATTGGGGTAGCGATGACCCTAAGACGTGGCCAGCCAGTTTAAACCCAACGAGTTTGTCGTTGGTAAACACTCTTGTGATAGCTTGCTAGGTTTAGCAGCGTCTGGTCGTCTTTCCTTACTATAATGGACCATGAAGTACAATACAGTAAAAAAGGAAAAGTACAATGAAAATTTCGGTTCCTCGTAAACTTCACCGTTCTTTTTACCATCTTTTCCAGCCGTCCTGGAAAGGAAAAAAAATTTAAGTGTATGTCGAAATACAAATGTACCTGCGTAAAAACACAAAGCGGGCGATAAAGGGAAATAAACTCATGCACACGTAATAGCGTATAAAAAGAGATTTTTACAATATGGTTTTTTTTTAATATAAATATATAGGCATATTAAAATTTTTTTTTAAATTTAAATATAGTACAAAGAAAAATCGAGATGATATAAAATATCAACTAGTATCTTACGTGCAATAATCGTTCAAATGTTCTGGAAATCTTACTCTTCTTCCAGAACACGTTGTTTCAAGTATATTTTCTGATACTACCGAAGTGTCATCGTGTGTGTTGGCTGTCTGTCGAGGGATTATAAGTGTAGGAGTCGTGTTGTGCGATTGTACTGAAGGAAATTCGACGTGAATAGGATTTCCTTCTAAATACGCTGCTTTGAGGCGATCGATGCTGATGCTACCGTTGGTTCCGTTCTTATCGATTATATAGTACTTGGGTTCGCGTTGAAGAACTTTCAAGTGTCCTTCGTATTCCGATTCGAGAGGTCGTCAATGTGAGTCTCGACGAACGAAAACGTATGTACTATATCGTAAGTCAGGTTGAACGAAAACCTCAGTTGATTGTGATAGAGTGGAAACAGGTTTAACTGAACGCACTGCGTTTGCAAGCTTGTTCGTATAGGAGGTTAGATCCATGTTCATTGAAGAGGACGAAGGATCCACGAATTCTCCTAAAAGCCGAAGGGTCGTTCCATATACGAGTTCAGCTGCAGTATATCCAATCTCAGCTTTCACTGAATTGCGACTACCTAGTAAGACGAGTGGGAGAGCGTCAGTCCACTGAGAAATGTTTGAGGCTGATAGTGAAGCTTTTAGTTGTCGGTGAAAGCGTCCTTCTAATCCGTTTGCTTGTGGGTGGTAGGCGGTCGTTTGGAAGCGAGTGGTTTTCTAGTATTGCGGTCAGACAACGGAACAGTTAAGATTCGAGCTGGGGTCCACGATCTGTAGTGATGTTTGAAGGGCAGCCGTAGTTTGCTATCCATCGTTCGACGAAGGCGCGGGCCACTGTTTCAGCAGTGATGTCCTTGAAAGGTAATGAAACGGTCTACGCAGGCTAAGAGATAAGAATATCCATTTGAATCTGGTAAAGGTCCTACCAAATCCAAATAAACATGATCGAAGCGAGCATCGGGAGTTTTAAATGAGCCTAATGGACATTTGTTACGTCTAATAACCTTAGATTTTTGGCAGCTTACACAGGAGCGTTCTCACTCCCTCACATCTTTATTCATACCAAGCCAGCAAAACCGTTCTGCTATAAGCTTGATGATTGTACGAATACCTGGATGAGAAAGTTTGTGCAACTAATTGAAGACGTTAGGTCGATAATGCTTCGACACGATTATGCGATCCCCACCTGTAGATGTTTCACAAAGTAAGGTTTCCTTACTTGTTCCCATCTGTTTGATGCGCAGCTTGAGGGTTGTTGACGATAACTCGCAGGGAAGATCAATGTCTTATTTTTGCAGCTGAGCGAGTGAAAGAAGGTCGCTTACTTGGAAACGGCTCAAGGAAGTTAATCGAAACAAGGCATCGCCGAATAATATGTTTGCTGCAGGAATGGGCTGAAAGACAGATCCCCAGAAAATCACACTGCACTTCACCGACTCCGAGTACTACATCTAAACTGATATAAAATCCTTAATCGTACGAATAAAATAATAAACAAACACAACAATACCATCATGAATATCATTATGTTCAAACTCATATTTCATATCCGAATCAAATCTGAAAGATCGAATCGGATGCTCGAAAACACGACCCTCAGATTAAAAGTCTGATGCTCTACCGACTGAGCTAACCGGGCTCGACTGGTCGGCGCCGCTTGTCACACTCATCAAAACAACATCACACAACACACATGCACACTCACTCACACAACACCATCTCAATCATCATACACCCTACAACTAACACCAATTCACACTCAACATTCTCTCACACAATCGCACACACACGCACACACACAACCACTCATTCACTCAGTCAATCAACCAGGCATACTTCGAGACTCATCTCTGTGTGTACACACACACGCGCGCACACACACACATGCACATGCACATGCACATGCACATGCACATGCACACGCACACAATAAACACACAACACACACTTGCTTCTCCATTGGGAATCTCTACCGAACTACTCCGACGACCATACAGACTGTTCCATTGCAGCCATACAGGTTGCACGACACACTGTTTAACCGTATCTGTCGTCACACCACTACCCGTCTGTCTCCTCTACTTACACCACCTCCCACTCCTCCCACTACTAATATCAATCATACTCCTACTGCTGCTCCCAATATTACCACTCTTCCTGCTCTCCTTCTCAAACATCTACAAATATTCATACAACTCCAACTCCTACTACAACTCCATCTCCTACTCCTCTTTCTCCGACAACTACTCATCATCCTCTTTATTATCATCACCATCATAACCACCTACACCACCTACATCACATCTGACACCAACTACACCAACTACACCAACTACACCAACTCCACCAAATACACCAACTCCATCATCATCATCATCATCATCATCATCATCATCATCATCATCATCATCATCATCATCATCATCATCATCATCATCATCATCATCATCATCATCATCATCATCATCATCATCATCATCATCATCATCATCATCATCATCATCATCATCATCATCATCATCATCATCATCATCATCATCATCATCATCATCATCATCATCATCATCATCATCATCATCATCATCATCATCATCATCATCATCATCATCATCATCATCATCATCATCATCATCATCATCATCATCATCATCATCATCATCATCATCATCATCATCATCATCATCATCATCATCATCATCATCATCATCATCATCATCATCATCATCATCTCATCATCATCATCATCATCATCATCATCATCATCATCATCATCATCATCATCATCATCATCATCATCATCATCATCATCATCATCATCATCATCATCATCATCATCATCATCATCATCATCATCATCATCATCATCATCATCATCATCATCATCATCATCATCATCATCATCATCATCATCATCATCATCATCATCATCATCATCATCATCATCATCATCATCATCATCATCATCATCATCATCATCATCATCATCATCATCATCATCATCATCATCATCATCATCATCATCATCATCATCATCATCATCATCATCATCATCATCATCATCATCATCATCATCATCATCATCATCATCATCATCATCATCATCATCATCATCATCATCATCATCATCATCATCATCATCATCATCATCATCATCATCATCATCATCATCATCATCATCATCATCATCATCATCTCATCATCATCATCATCATCATCATCATCATCATCATCATCATCATCATCATCATCATCATCATCATCATCATCATCATCATCATCATCATCATCATCATCATCATCATCATCATCATCATCATCATCATCATCATCATCATCATCATCATCATCATCATCATCATCATCATCATCATCATCATCATCATCATCATCATCATCATCACCAACAACCACATCCACTCTACACGAACTCGGAATCGGCACACTCACATTGACGAGTGGAGTGGTGTGTGAGTGTCAGGTAGTCGACTGATGGATTGGTGGATTGTCGATGTGAGATTAGTGATGGGAAGTGTGTGTCAATGAGGCAATGATGACGGTGATTGTGTGAAGTGAGTATGTGGTGTTGTGTGGGAGTGATGACATGAGAGGATATGGTGGAATGTGTGGTTGAGGTTGAGTTTGAGATAGTGGTTGTTGTTGTTGTTGTTGTTGTTGTTGTTGTTGTTGATGTTGAGATTGAGGTTGATGTTGAGGTGTGTGTGGACAGAGAGTTGTGAATGTGGCAGACTGAATGCGACAGACTGACTGTAGGTGTGTGCAGTGTGGACGTAGAGTGGGAGGACGGTGAGTATTGTTTGGTGAAAAGCCGTAGCGCCCGATGGGGGGCTCGAACCCCCGACCCTCAGATTAAAAGTCTGATGCTCTACCGACTGAGCTAACCGGGCTCGACTGGTCGGCGCCGCTTGTCACACTCATCAAAACAACATCACACAACACACATGCACACTCACTCACACAACACCATCTCAATCATCATACACCCTACAACTAACACCAATTCACACTCAACATTCTCTCACACAATCGCACACACACGCACACACACAACCACTCATTCACTCAGTCAATCAACCAGGCATACTTCGAGACTCATCTCTGTGTGTACACACACACGCGCGCACACACACATGCACATGCACATGCACATGCACATGCACATGCACATGCACACGCACACAATAAACACACAACACACACTTGCTTCTCCATTGGGAATCTCTACCGAACTACTCCGACGACCATACAGACTGTTCCATTGCAGCCATACAGGTTGCACGACACACTGTTTAACCGTATCTGTCGTCACACCACTACCCGTCTGTCTCCTCTACTTACACCACCTCCCACTCCTCCCACTACTAATATCAATCATACTCCTACTGCTGCTCCCAATATTACCACTCTTCCTGCTCTCCTTCTCAAACATCTACAAATATTCATACAACTCCAACTCCTACTACAACTCCATCTCCTACTCCTCTTTCTCCGACAACTACTCATCATCCTCTTTATTATCATCACCATCATAACCACCTACACCACCTACATCACATCTGACACCAACTACACCAACTACACCAACTACACCAACTCCATCATCATCATCATCATCATCATCATCATCATCATCATCATCATCATCATCATCATCATCATCATCATCATCATCATCATCATCATCATCATCATCATCATCATCATCATCATCATCATCATCATCATCATCATCATCATCATCATCATCATCATCATCATCATCATCATCATCATCATCATCATCATCATCATCATCATCATCATCATCATCATCATCATCATCATCATCATCATCATCATCATCATCATCATCATCATCATCATCATCATCATCATCATCATCATCATCATCATCATCATCATCATCATCATCATCATCATCATCATCATCATCATCATCATCATCATCATCATCATCATCATCATCATCATCATCATCATCATCATCATCATCATCATCATCATCATCATCATCATCATCATCATCATCATCATCATCATCATCATCATCATCATCATCATCATCATCATCATCATCATCATCATCATCATCATCATCATCCTCATCATCATCATCATCATCATCATCATCATCATCATCATCATCATCATCATCATCATCATCATCATCATCATCATCATCATCATCATCATCATCATCATCATCATCATCATCATCATCATCATCATCATCATCATCATCATCATCATCATCATCATCATCATCATCATCATCATCATCATCATCATCATCATCATCATCATCATCATCATCATCATCATCATCATCATCATCATCATCATCATCATCATCATCATCATCATCATCATCATCATCATCATCATCATCATCATCATCATCATCATCATCATCATCATCATCATCATCATCATCATCATCATCATCATCATCATCATCATCATCATCATCATCATCATCATCATCATCATCATCATCATCATCATCATCATCATCATCATCATCATCATCATCATCATCATCATCATCATCATTCATCATCATTCATCATCATCATCATCATCATCATCATCATCATCATCATCATCACATCATCATCATCATCATCATCATCATCATCAACTCATCAGTTAGGTGTGTGCAGTGTGGACGTAGAGTGGGAGGACGGTGAGTATTGTTTGGTCAAAAGCCGTAGCGCCCGATGGGGGGCTCGAACCCCCGACCCTCAGATTAAAAGTATGATGCTCTACCGACTGAGCTAACCGGGCTCGACTGGTCGGCGCCGCTTGTCACACTCATCAAAACAACATCACACAACACACATGCACACTCACTCACACAACACCATCTCAATCATCATACACCCTACAACTAACCAATTCACACTCAACATTCTCTCACACAATCGCACACACACGCACACACACAACCCACTCATTCACTCAGTCAATCAACCAGGCATACTTCGAGACTCATCTCTGTGGGTCACACACACATGCACATGCACATGCACATGCACATGCACATGCACATGCACATGCACACGCACACAATAAACACACAACACACACTTGCTTCTCCATTGGGAATCTCTACCGAACTACTCCGACGACCATACAGACTGTTCCATTGCAGCCATACAGGTTGCACGACACACTGTTTAACCGTATCTGTCGTCACACCACTACCCGTCTGTCTCCTCTACTTACACCACCTCCCACTCCTCCCACTACTAATATCAATCATACTCCTACTGCTGCTCCCAATATTACCACTCTTCCTGCTCTCCTTCTCAAACAACTACAAATACTCATACAACTCCAACTCCTACTACAACTCCATCTCCTACTCCTCTTTCTCCGACTACTACTCATCATCCTCTTTATTATCATCACCATCATAACAACATACACCACCTACACCACATCTCACACCAACTACACCAACTCCACCAACTACACCAACTACACCAACTACACCAACTCCATCATCATCATCAGCATCATCAGCATCATCAGCATCATCATCAGCACATTCATCATCATCACCAACAACCACATCCACTCTACACGAACTCGGAATCGGCACACTCACATTGACGAGTGGAGTGGTGTGTGAGTGTCAGGTAGTCGACTGATGGATTGGTGGATTGTCGATGTGAGATTAGTGATGGGAAGTGTGTGTCAATGAGGCAATGATGACGGTGATTGTGTGAAGTGAGTATGTGGTGTTGTGTGGGAGTGATGACATGAGAGGATATGGTGGAATGTGTGGTTGAGGTTGAGTTTGAGATAGTGGTTGTTGTTGTTGTTGTTGTTGTTGTTGTTGTTGTTGATGTTGAGATTGAGGTTGATGTTGAGGTGTGTGTGGACAGAGAGTTGTGAATGTGGCAGACTGAATGCGACAGACTGACTGTAGGTGTGTGCAGTGTGGACGTAGAGTGGGAGGACGGTGAGTATTGTTTGGTCAAAAGCCGTAGCGCCCGATGGGGGGCTCGAACCCCCGACCCTCAGATTAAAAGTCTGATGCTCTACCGACTGAGCTAACCGGGCTCGACTGGTCGGCGCCGCTTGTCACACTCATCAAAACAACATCACACAACACACATGCACACTCACTCACACAACACCATCTCAATCATCATACACCCTACAACTAACACCAATTCACACTCAACATTCTCTCACACAATCGCACACACACGCACACACACAACCACTCATTCACTCAGTCAATCAACCAGGCATACTTCGAGACTCATCTCTGTGTGTACACACACGCGCGCGCACACACACACATGCACATGCACATGCACATGCACATGCACATGCACATGCACATGCACACGCACACAATAAACACACAACACACACTTGCTTCTCCATTGGGAATCTCTACCGAACTACTCCGACGACCATACAGACTGTTCCATTGCAGCCATACAGGTTGCACGACACACTGTTTAACCGTATCTGTCGTCACACCACTACCCGTCTGTCTCCTCTACTTACACCACCTCCCACTCCTCCCACTACTAATATCAATCATACTCCTACTGCTGCTCCCAATATTACCACTCTTCCTGCTCTCCTTCTCAAACAACTACAAATACTCATACAACTCCAACTCCTACTACAACTCCATCTCCTACTCCTCTTTCTCCGACTACTACTCATCATCCTCTTTATTATCATCACCATCATAACAACATACACCACCTACACCACATCTCACACCAACTACACCAACTCCACCAACTACACCAACTACACCAACTACACCAACTCCATCATCATCATCAGCATCATCATCAGCATCATCAGCATCATCATCAGCACATTCATCATCATCACCAACAACCACATCCACTCTACACGAACTCGGAATCGGCACACTCACATTGACGAGTGGAGTGGTGTGTGAGTGTCAGGTAGTCGACTGATGGATTGGTGGATTGTCGATGTGAGATTAGTGATGGGAAGTGTGTGTCAATGAGGCAATGATGACGGTGATTGTGTGAAGTGAGTATGTGGTGTTGTGTGGGAGTGATGACATGAGAGGATATGGTGGAATGTGTGGTTGAGGTTGAGTTTGAGATAGTGGTTGTTGTTGTTGTTGTTGTTGTTGTTGTTGTTGATGTTGAGATTGAGGTTGATGTTGAGGTGTGTGTGGACAGAGAGTTGTGAATGTGGCAGACTGAATGCGACAGACTGACTGTAGGTGTGTGCAGTGTGGACGTAGAGTGGGAGGACGGTGAGTATTGTTTGGTCAAAAGCCGTAGCGCCCGATGGGGGGCTCGAACCCCCGACCCTCAGATTAAAAGTCTGATGCTCTACCGACTGAGCTAACCGGGCTCGACTGGTCGGCGCCGCTTGTCACACTCATCAAAACAACATCACACAACACACATGCACACTCACTCACACAACACCATCTCAATCATCATACACCCTACAACTAACACCAATTCACACTCAACATTCTCTCACACAATCGCACACACACGCACACACACAACCACTCATTCACTCAGTCAATCAACCAGGCATACTTCGAGACTCATCTCTGTGTGTACACACACACGCGCGCGCACACACACACATGCACATGCACATGCACATGCACATGCACATGCACACGCACACAATAAACACACAACACACACTTGCTTCTCCATTGGGAATCTCTACCGAACTACTCCGACGACCATACAGACTGTTCCATTGCAGCCATACAGGTTGCACGACACACTGTTTAACCGTATCTGTCGTCACACCACTACCCGTCTGTCTCCTCTACTTACACCACCTCCCACTCCTCCCACTACTAATATCAATCATACTCCTACTGCTGCTCCCAATATTACCACTCTTCCTGCTCTCCTTCTCAAACAACTACAAATACTCATACAACTCCAACTCCTACTACAACTCCATCTCCTACTCCTCTTTCTCCGACTACTACTCATCATCCTCTTTATTATCATCACCATCATAACAACATACACCACCTACACCACATCTCACACCAACTACACCAACTCCACCAACTACACCAACTACACCAACTACACCAACTCCATCATCATCATCATCAGCATCATCAGCATCATCAGCATCATCATCAGCACATTCATCATCATCACCAACAACCACATCCACTCTACACGAACTCGGAATCGGCACACTCACATTGACGAGTGGAGTGGTGTGTGAGTGTCAGGTAGTCGACTGATGGATTGGTGGATTGTCGATGTGAGATTAGTGATGGGAAGTGTGTGTCAATGAGGCAATGATGACGGTGATTGTGTGAAGTGAGTATGTGGTGTTGTGTGGGAGTGATGACATGAGAGGATATGGTGGAATGTGTGGTTGAGGTTGAGTTTGAGATAGTGGTTGTTGTTGTTGTTGTTGTTGTTGTTGTTGATGTTGAGATTGAGGTTGATGTTGAGGTGTGTGTGGACAGAGAGTTGTGAATGTGGCAGACTGAATGCGACAGACTGACTGTAGGTGTGTGCAGTGTGGACGTAGAGTGGGAGGACGGTGAGTATTGTTTGGTCAAAAGCCGTAGCGCCCGATGGGGGGCTCGAACCCCCGACCCTCAGATTAAAAGTCTGATGCTCTACCGACTGAGCTAACCGGGCTCGACTGGTCGGCGCCGCTTGTCACACTCATCAAAACAACATCACACAACACACATGCACACTCACTCACACAACACCATCTCAATCATCATACACCCTACAACTAACACCAATTCACACTCAACATTCTCTCACACAATCGCACACACACGCACACACACAACCACTCATTCACTCAGTCAATCAACCAGGCATACTTCGAGACTCATCTCTGTGTGTACACACACACGCGCGCACACACACACATGCACATGCACATGCACATGCACATGCACACGCACACAATAAACACACAACACACACTTGCTTCTCCATTGGGAATCTCTACCGAACTACTCCGACGACCATACAGACTGTTCCATTGCAGCCATACAGGTTGCACGACACACTGTTTAACCGTATCTGTCGTCACACCACTACCCGTCTGTCTCCTCTACTTACACCACCTCCCACTCCTCCCACTACTAATATCAATCATACTCCTACTGCTGCTCCCAATATTACCACTCTTCCTGCTCTCCTTCTCAAACAACTACAAATACTCATACAACTCCAACTCCTACTACAACTCCATCTCCTACTCCTCTTTCTCCGACTACTACTCATCATCCTCTTTATTATCATCACCATCATAACAACATACACCACCTACACCACATCTCACACCAACTACACCAACTCCACCAACTACACCAACTACACCAACTACACCAACTACACCAACTCATCATCATCATCAGCATCATCAGCATCATCAGCATCATCATCAGCACATTCATCATCATCACCAACAACCACATCCACTCTACACGAACTCGGAATCGGCACACTCACATTGACGAGTGGAGTGGTGTGTGAGTGTCAGGTAGTCGACTGATGGATTGGTGGATTGTCGATGTGAGATTAGTGATGGGAAGTGTGTGTCAATGAGGCAATGATGACGGTGATTGTGTGAAGTGAGTATGTGGTGTTGTGTGGGAGTGATGACATGAGAGGATATGGTGGAATGTGTGGTTGAGGTTGAGTTTGAGATAGTGGTTGTTGTTGTTGTTGTTGTTGTTGTTGTTGATGTTGAGATTGAGGTTGATGTTGAGGTGTGTGTGGACAGAGAGTTGTGAATGTGGCAGACTGAATGCGACAGACTGACTGTAGGTGTGTGCAGTGTGGACGTAGAGTGGGAGGACGGTGAGTATTGTTTGGTCAAAAGCCGTAGCGCCCGATGGGGGGCTCGAACCCCCGACCCTCAGATTAAAAGTCTGATGCTCTACCGACTGAGCTAACCGGGCTCGACTGGTCGGCGCCGCTTGTCACACTCATCAAAACAACATCACACAACACACATGCACACTCACTCACACAACACCATCTCAATCATCATACACCCTACAACTAACACCAATTCACACTCAACATTCTCTCACACAATCGCACACACACGCACACACACAACCACTCATTCACTCAGTCAATCAACCAGGCATACTTCGAGACTCATCTCTGTGTGTACACACACACGCGCGCACACACACACACGTAACCACTCATTCACTCAATCAATCAAACAGGCATTCCTCGACTTACACATATATCAAAACAAGATTCTTCAATATAGTATAGCATGCAGCAATTGAATCACAATTGACGGAGTATATTTGTATTGTGTAAATTTATTTACAAATTTGGGCATCATCATCTATTTACACGGTGGATCTGATACAGATGTGTAATCACGAATCAGGAAAGCAATTGCAGCATATTTACAACTGAAGAACATCTGGAACTCAAAACGATTGTCAACCAACAGCAATGCCGAAATTTTCAATACAAATTTTAAGACAGTTCTACTGTATGGGTTCGAAATGTAGAAAACCACGAAAGTCATTATCCATAAGATACAGGTTTTTATTAACAGTTGTCTACGCAAAATACTTCGGATCCGTTGGGTGGACACTATTAGCAACAGCCTACTTTGGGAGAGAACAATTCAGATCCCAGTGGAGGAAGAAATCAGGAAGAAGCACTGGAAGTGGATTGGACACACATTGAGGAATGCGTCAAACTGCGTCACAAGACAATGTCGAAGGAGGAGAGGAAGACTAAAGAACACATTACGCCTGGAAATGGAGATAGACATGAGAAAAATGAACAAGAATTGGATGGAACTAGAAAGGAAGTCATAGGACAGAGCGAGGTGAAGAATACCGGTCAGCGGCCTATGCTCCATTTTGAGTAACAGGCGTAAATAAGTAAATCCTGTAAACATGGTTTTTATTTTTTAAAATTTTTTTCTAAATTCTTAAATATATTTTATTTATAGAATAAAAGTTAATGAAACCTATTCACTTCAGAAAACTTATCATTAAAAATTGTCTGTCTCTTTTTGTTCGTTTCGTTTTTTGTTTTGTTTTTTGTTTTTTTTTTAATGTTTTTTTATTCATTCATATATCAAACTATGAAATTAAATATTGAATAAAATGTTAAGAAATGCTTAAACATATATATATTTATATATTCAAACTATAGGGTATCATTATGATGAAATATTGTAGGTGATGAATGGTTTGTGTAAAATGAGAACTGTGATAATAATAATAATAATAATAATAATACTCCATAATTTATGAACATTGTTATTAAACATGAAAGTATAAAATAAAACAAAACAAAACAAACAAACAAAACACTGAACTTCTCATAGTTAAATAGTATAAATATGTAAACTTGTTTAATTTATTTCAATAAATTTTATTCTTAATTATATTCAATAATAATGAATAATTTATGTTATATTTATGGTATAGCAATTGGATTCATAGGAATAATAGCTAGTATTATACATTTGTTTATTTGTATTATATGGATAGCATATTTATTTGGTTGGCAATTAAATCAACAAAAAAATTCTTATAAAAATTATAATTTACAATTAAATTGGCCAAAATGTTCATTAAGATTTTCAATTAAAATTTATATACTCCTTATGATTATTAGTAGTTTATTAATTTATTTAATAGATGGAATTCGTCTTATTTATCTTTGTTTCACATGGATTGATTTACGTATTATTTATAATGAATGGTATTGTAAATGTCATATATTATTAAAAAATTTTTCAATGGATTTATATAATTGGATATTTGCATTAATTTGTTTAGAAAGACTTACATTAATCATATTTACAAATCCTAAATATTTATCAATTATTAATTCTAAAAAAATATTTTTCATTCAATTATTAATTGTATTCTTATTTACTTTATTCACTTGTAGTGTATTTTTAATATCAATTAAATCAATCTGTGATCAATATTTTTATAATCGAGATCTTATTTATAGTAGATTTTTATTAAGTTCATTTCTACCTGCAATTATATCGATTATATCATCATGTTACATTATAAGAATATGTTATAAACAAGAAATAAAATTAAATACAACTCGTAAATTGATTAATTTACCTGGTGAACGATTAATTGGTTTATCGATTAAATCAGTTAATAAAATTATTGCTGCTAAAACAACTTTATTATCAGCTTGTATATTGCCTATATTTCATATAATTTTATTTATATTTATGTTAAATAATAAAAATTATTGTTGTTATTTTACATTTAATAAACAATTGAACATTGAAGATTATTTCTATGTATCATTTGATTTAATATTTTGTATATTATATACATTAAAATTACATTTATTTATTGTATCATCACCAAGTATTAATCGGAATATATGTATTATTATAACACTTATAAAAATTAGAATACGTATATGCTGTTGTTGTGGCTGTTGTTCTTCTTCTTGTTCTTGTTGTTCTTCTTCTTGGATTCAACCAATGAAATAAATGACATCATTATTTATGATAATTGAAATTATATCATATTGTATGAACTAACCATACAATGAACAATAATTCCATACCCTTCAAAGCTAATCTAGGTATGTTAATGTGATTACTTTTTTTTAAAAATAAAACTAGAAATTGCTTTCGTAGTCTTTTAGAGAACATTAATTAACAAGTATGTCTTAATGATAAAATAAGACTATTTAATTAATTTCATTGAAATTATTATAAATTGATATATAAAGACATTTTATGGGAGCTAAAGGATGCAATTTCATCCCAAAATGATTCCTCATCAATAATGTACACCCACAATTTATAGATCAAGCTGAAGTCAATAAAACTTCTGCATCAATATTATAAGAATATTGTTATATCTAAACGTTATGATTTGTGGATTTTACAATTAGATTCTATTCAAATAACTAACAAATGGAATAATTTTCTTATACGAAAGGGGAATCCACACTGAACTAGATAGATTAAACCATTCATACACAACAACAATTTTATTAATAAGAAATTAGAATGTGTACATGCTGCTGTTGATGTTGGATTTAACCATTGAAATGATTAATATCATGATTTATGATAACTTAAATTATATAATATTGTATGATCAGTTATTATATTCATTTCATTAAAACTAATCATACAATGAACAATATATCCATACGCTTCGAAGCTAATCAAGGTATGTTAATGCCATTACTTTTTATAAATAAATAAAAAGTAGAAATTACTTTTGTAATCTTTCAAATTAAAAGTTAAATGTACTTTTACGTATTCGTCATGATAACTTGGAATTTTTAAATCATTAGAGAATAGTGTTGTTTCATTCACCGTAACAATGTTAACCACTGTTATATCCCGATGAAAATAATGAATAGTAACTGTTGGAATCTATTTCTGGACTACTACTATATGTATAATTTTTATCGTATAATTATCAAATAACTAAATTATTCATATTCGTGTTCCTCTTATCATAAGCTTTGTTTTGACCTATGAACTATTATTATACGATTTACTATTCTTGAGTTATGCCTGGTCTATCAATTACTACCTCCCACATTCACAGCCACATTTGGTTAAATCTTGTAAAAATGTTGTTTCCTATTTTCTGGTAAGATGTGGTCTGTTTGTTTTGCATATAACCCAGTATGCTCGAAATATAGGATTCATATCGTGGAGGCTGAGAATGGTGTTCTGAACTTAAAACAGGCAGGGCTCGGCAGGAATTAGGATCGGTAAAACTCTAGACTGCTCGTATGGATTTTATACGTCATTGGTCCGGTCGATAATTCGCTATTCTCTAATTGGTGGCATCATTACGTTATACATTAATAGGATATAGGGCACAAGTTATAACAACCATCAGATCAATAGTACGTAAAAATGACGTCAGATAAATTATAATTATATAACTGTTAAGTGAATAAATTTAACTCGTAGGTGCACATATATAAAATGACAAATGATCAGTAAATAATTTAAAGATTGACCGACAATTTGCATCTTTAAACGTTAATTAGAATCTAACAGAATGAGAACCGTTCATGACGATTTTCTTTTGTGATAAGTTATGAAATAAATGTAAAAGATGACAGCCTACTTTACAAAAGCGAAGAAAAAGAAGTTGGAGAATATGACAACACTTAGCCCTGATGATTTATAAATTAAAAGTTATGCAGAGACCATGTAAGAATGAAGGATTGAGCATAATTCTTTTGTAAATAGAAGTCAGGTTTAACAAGGTGAATTGTTATGGCTTTAACCATCCACAAATCCTAAATACACACCTTATTTATAGACTGTGATATTCGCTATTTGAAGTGGTTTGATAATTCCGAATTACTTTATAAAACGGTGCAACAAAACTTCACTTTCGTTGTTATGCAATTATACATTTGACACTTGTAGACGTTTGACCATTTTGTTTAGTAAAAGAATAACGTTCTGAGAAGATTCATTTTATGACTCAAGTTATATCGTATGAATGATTGTTATCAAAATATACATCCTGGCTATCCTCGTATATAATTTTCTGTGACACTATAATTTATAGACAACATTTGAGCGACGATAAAGTGACTTTGAGAGTCTTCGCCTAATAACTAGGTCCAAATGAGGGTTATAAGCCAGTGTGAGGAATTGGAATTATGATGTACAGTTGATGGTCAGGGCTAGGAATCAGATTTAGGGTTTTCATCACGAACTAACATCAGCTGTAATGCCAAAACTCTTAAGCCCAATGGATGAGTGAATTTGGCGTCAAAATCCGAGACCTGTTATCTTACACCTGTTTGGTTCATTCATAAATTATAGTCTCGCCTAATTATCAACTTAACTCGCGTTAGTGAATAACGGAATTAAAATAAGTCAAATACAAGAAAGGATGTTCGAATACGCATATTTGTACACTCGTTCATTGCAACAGACAATCAGAGAATCGCAGCGAATGAAGTGAAAAAGAGAAAGCGTAGCGAAACGAAAGGACGCACAGTGGAGGAGTGTGAGCCAACTCCATTTAATCAAGCGGTAACCAATATTTATAGCCACGCAAAAATAAGCTACAAACATGTGATGAGTAAGATAAGATGTACACACACATACGCTCATATAAAAAGTCAAGGTTGATAAGTGAATAATTGACAAGGTTTCAGTTTCAGTTTGGAAAGGACAGGATGCTTGATGGCCTGTGTTAGTCCTGGCAATGGTGGTCTCTCAGTTGATCCAACTTTCTTTTGAAAGAGTCCACGGATGAAGCCTCAATCACGTGCTCAGGTAATGAATTCCACTCGTTGATAATTCTATGGGAAAGTCGATAGTCAACTGACAAGTAATTTGTCCTGGGCTGGTTGAAACGTAACTCAAGAAGAATGAATAAATTGGCCTGTCCAGAAGCTAAAATAAATTAAGTGGACCAAAGCTGTTAAAATATGAAAGTGGTACTCTGGCTTTTTGTTTGCCATTGGATATAACCACAAACCAGGTGTGATTTTTTAATATTATTAAATAATGGACAAACTGTTTGAAGTAGTCTAATTCACTTCACATTTTCTCAACTGAAGGGAATATTTACAGACATTTCATTAATGATGTGAACAGAGAAACAAAAGCCTTGACAAACTATGGAAGCTATTTTTAGGGGACGTTATTTCATTTAATTCAAAGCTTGTAAAATAGTAACATTTATTTTTGTCTATTCTACAAATCATAAGCTTTCGTTTGAAGTGTGATTCACTGCAATAGTCCTTTTTGTTCTAAAGCTATTGTCATTTAAACGTATTATTTTGTACTCTATTTTCTACGCTAATCTCCAGTTTTGGACATAATTGTGTTTTCCTAATTGTTCTGCGTTGTGGTCTATTTTGTCTTCCATTTATTCATGTATCTTTTCACACTGATCTGAAATTGGGAACCATATCGGAATCGGGAGTAAGTCGTGTAGTGTTCCAGTTGACTTGTCTTCTCTCACTCGCGCGCTTGTCATCCAATCAAGTGGTAGAATAGTTTTCTTCTCTCTACCCCACTTCGAACTCACACCACTAGCCTCAAGGTTAAGCCGGTCAGACTATAGCGTCAAGGTCTTAATCTAGATTAGACATGTTATCTGCTGCACAAAATTGGGTAGATAGATCAATAACGTAACAATTGATAATACTTAATTTCATTTATTCATTGATCTACTAAAAGTGAGCATTGTTCATTAAAGCGAAATCTGCACAAACAGATTTTCACATGATCCCTTGCAGTCATTAGTTATCTGAATCACAATCATATCAACATGAATATAGAAACAGAGATAGATGGGGGCTAGCAACCAATATGAAAATATGTTACTAATTATAAAGTAAACGTTAGCCAGTTGTAAAGAAATCTCTTAATTGGGCTGTAGCGGTAAATAAATCCCCAAAATTAATAGCTCTGTAAGTTTTTGACATTGGATGCTGACCACATTAGTTTTAACGGACTCATCTAGCTGAAGGCGCTAGGTCATGCATCCGCACCAGATCACGTGTGGGAACGCCGAGCTCAGCATCTACTGAAATCGCTAGCCAGATTAGTTCAGACGATCTTCGATGTATTAATAGCTTATCAAATATATCTTCGAACCTCCTCGCTTCTGTCTTTTGATTTTACTTGGTGGGTACGCTTCATATTAGAAGCTGTTACTGGTTAAAGCGTTGTCAAACTCTGAATACTTGTAGCATCTTCAGGACTTAATGAAGGTTAACTTTAATGTATTTGTACTTTTAGTTGTAATTACCTATTCTGGTGGAGTACTACTAAGGAGTCCCGTGATAGAACGAAACGGTCGTCCAATGCTTTCCGGTTTTTAATGTTGGTCTAACATTAATCCATTCATAATTTCGATCAAAATTGATTTTAGACCGATAATTAGTGTAGTTCAACTGGCATACATTGTTAAGTAATTCTCACTTAACGACAAATATAGACGAATATCTTAAAGTCACTTGGTATTGTTTTGCTTGTATCTTCCCACTGAGGTTTAAAACTGCAATTGATCAGTCTGTTATTGGCATATGTGCATACTGTGCGTATGCCTCGATATTGCCTTAATTCATAAGCTTTTATAAGCAAAGATGGATAGTGGTTAGCAGTGGAATCCAGGACGCGCGTTTCGTTCTATTTGGGACTTGTCAGTTGGATGTACCTGCATCTCAGAGTTGTTGTTCACTCTGGGACTCGAATCCAGAATAAATTGATCAAACAATTATTGAATATATTAAAGTATGTTAGTAGCAAAACGGATGTTTAACCGATATAAAACGAAATATTATGATTACCACACGTAGATAAATCTCAAATATGTCCAATCGTCTACGCATATCGTTAAAAATACTTTATCAAAATGTTACAATACACATTTATTAACCGTTAAAATAATTGACCGAAAATTGTGCTTAATTAATTCCGGTAACCATACATTTTTACTAACGCTTCTAAGCTTTTATTATTGCCAGACGATCTAT